TTCATTCTTACTTGAAATAACATAACCAAATAATTTTGTTTTATTATTTACAATGTGATAGAATTTAAAGTAATTACCCTCTCAGTAGCAATAGCAACTGTGGACTCCTGTTTAAATTTTTGAAGAGTACCCATCAACAAGCCAAATATACGTCGATTCCTGAAAAAAACCAAACCCACAACAAAAAAATATTTGAGATTCAGTTCAAGTACTAAGACTTTTATTTGTATAAATAATCAGAGAAACTTTCCACCTCAAGGATATTTATTTTTAAAGGCCCAGTAGTGCTCAAGGCCATTAGCAATAGAAGACATACTGACTGTGCCAACAGTCCAGGATATAATTTACAGTGACATATCATTTTGCTTACAAGTAAGACACAGCTCTTATGTGTAACACAGAACAGCTAGCACTGGCAAAACTGGAAGCCTGCACATCTTCCATCTGGAAAGAGTAACACTAAGGAAATATTTTTAAAAATCCTGAAGCAGAGAGTACTAAAGAAAAAAGTCAAGTAAATACAGTGTGAGCTATCAATAAGGGAGCAAACTGGGTTTTCTAAAAAGCATACAGTCCCCTCTCCACAATCTTCTTAGACTATTAAGGAGAAATGGAGCCACAGGGGAGTGAAAGCTTATCTATCAGAATTGCCCAACAATGAGACACTGCACTGTGCAATGAAAACAGAACCGCTCTCATCCAATTAGGTGTTGTTTTGAGAAAAATAAGTAAAATACTTCAACAAATTCCCTTCTTCTGAGAAATAACTAGTTTCTTGACTTTCACCTTCAATTTATTTTCATTCAATCCCAAATTAAGTCTTTGCAATCTGATGCAGACTTTTTTATTTGCCTTGAACCTGATAAAGTGAGAAAGGAAATGCTACTGTCTTCCTTAAGTCCCACTCTATTACAGTGGCACAAACCTCACATTGAAAGGTAAAAGTATATAAAATAATAGAAACAGCAACAAATAAAAATTGAAAGCCAAAGATCACTGAAAGAGCATTTGTATATGAATGGCATCCCAGAATACATTGAGCAAAATCAGGAGTTCAGGGCATGCTGTCCTCTTAAAGAACCTCCCTCCGCCACAATTCATAGAGATTAATAGTGGTTTTCTCATCTCCCTAGAGACTACTGAACTGAAAAGCAGTAAAACAATTCTGAGGGAACAAGCATTTAGTGCCTGAAGCTCTAGGAAGTTCAGTAAGAATTTTGGAAGTCTCCCTGTGAGGGAAGCAATTAGAACCTAGTAATGGAATACTCTAAGTGGGGTTATGACTAAAAGAAGCAAGTGAAGTGCCAGTTTTCTGTGCCAGTTGACCTGTAGGGACTTATCAGAGAAGATTTCTAGAGTTCCTTATTCCAGTTCTAATTCTTCTGTTTATTTGGGGTGCAATTATTACTACACCAAGTGATTTGCAGTCTGAAGTAGATGGAGGCCAAGAGGTTGAACACAGTTGCAAATTTGATTTTCCAATACCTCTTACCAATAGAGCTGCATTTCAGTTAGAATTTCAATAGCCCTAAGAAAAATAAAATATAGGGAAGAGAAGCTATACATAGGAGGAATCTATAAAGCAGCAGGCGAAATGAAGGCAAGGCTGTACACACAACAAGAAGTCAAAGTAATATGAGAAAAGAAACATGATGGAACTATTTAAGTTTAAAAAAGGGGCAGAGGGAGAAAGGAACCATATTCAAAACCCTACTTCAACCAACAAAATAAATGATGAGCCAAGATAGCTGTAATAATCTAAGACATTAAGCAACCAATGAAGCTACAGATATTTCTGTCTTACTCAAATGATGTTAAAACACTAGCACTAGCAAAACTGCTCCTGTAGGTGGCCTGAAAAGTAGAATCCATGTCAGTTATGTGAACAATGCACATGATGCTGCTTGTGAAGTATTTTCAGAGTACTTTTTAAATTACATTTTATACTATAATGGTAACTCTTCAACATAATCTTTGATCCACAACAGCTTGTGTGCAGTATCTTTTAAATCACAAGCTACTTTATATGGCAGAACTCAAAAGTTAGTTTAAAAAAGATTGCTGCATACCTTTGTTTTCCTTTTTCATCCATATTTTGATCTTGTATAAGGTCTCGACGTGTTCGCTCTTTGGAGGTAGCAACAACAGAAGATGGCAACGCTGGCTACAAGAATGAAAAACAAACTACTTTGTTGATCGTGTTGCAGGTACGTTTCTGCTTGCACAGCTCCATTTACTATATATTACCTTTTTAATATCATCATCCTCTGCGTCGCTTTCTTGGCGTGATTCTCTTCTTGTCCGACGCTCTCCACCCAGCCTGAGGAAGAAAGCCAGTGGTCATTAGAGAACATGTGTTTAGGAGAGAATCTCTTTCAGCATGAGAAAAATACAAGCATGTCTAGTCAGAAGAACCAACACTTCGGTGAAAATCTCCCCACTGTTCCAACAACCAGTAAGTAACATTTTACAGACAGAATCTATTGTTGCTGAAAATCAATTAGACAGACAGTTTAAATTTTAATATAAATTGCTGAGTAATAAGAACAGAAGAACCTGCAAACATCATATTTGACTTCTTAAAATACACTTGTAATTCATTCTTTTAAATGTTTGTGCTTTTCCAGAAATCTCTAAAATGGTGACTGGTATAAAGGGATCACTAGACAGACTTCAATGCATTGACGTGGAAAGGTTGGTATAATTTCTTAAACAGGAAATGCTGTTCAAGTTACCTACCAAATACCTATTGGAGAGAGGCAGAGGGCTTACCACTTAAGGCATGGATGAACTAAGGCTTTAACAAAGAACAACTTAAAATAAATAATTTAAATAAAATAAATCCTAAAATAATTAAAGTTGAAGTTGTTTTCAGCTTTGTAGCACAGCATTACTGTCCTGCTTCCCAGCTTCATTTTCTGCTAACTCAAAAATTCCAAAGTAAGCTTTACTTTGGTCAAGAACTACCACTACACATTAAGTGCCCACAGCACTTGAGTTCACTATTATCAATCACATCTGATGGATTTGCAACCAGATGTGAAAGCCCAAAACCCAAGTCCATTGTCATATTGCCTGTACTCAATTTATTTAACAGGTCTCAGTCATAATTCAATTTTTGCTCACTGTAAACAAATGTCATAACTAAAAAGAATGTATTAACATTATGTATGAATGTATTAAGAATGTATTAAAAGAATGTGATATAACAGATTGTACACCAAATAAAACAAAAAAAAAAATACAGATAGCTTTGTATTGCTACATCTTTATATTATTGCTACCATCTTTATGCTGCTCTAAGGTATGAAAAAGATTTCACCGAGTGATTTGCTGCCACCCAAATTATTCCCAACAAGTCTTCAGTAAGCAATCTCCAAAGAAGACAGTGAAAGTCCCCAGTTATTTCCAGTTTTTGGTTTACTGTTACAAATTTTCATTCTGAAAAGCAAGTAGGCTGCATTAGTTTTTGCACTCACCTACTGGATGCACCTTCAAGATCCCTCTGTTTGGCTGGGGGTCCTCCTCCACTATCCGAGAATCCACGCCTAAAAACAAAACGCTTGCGGTCTTAGAACAAGTTAGGTTAATCCCTGGAGCACTTCAAGTGTGCACAATTTAACTATAATTTTGCTTTATGGTCATGATTAAACATAAACTTTACTCAGCTCTATCACTATTTACTGTTAGCACCGCAGTGAAATGTTCTAACACACTGCTTGTGAACCATGTAATTTAACCTTGAATTTCTGCACTTATTTAACTGAGTAGCTCTGCTGTAACAAGCATCCTATCGTGTTCAAACAATCTTACCTGCACTAATTTTCAGGATGTGTTTTTATCCATATGTGTTTTAAAATCCTTCTTAGAGCACCTACCAGTTTTTTAACCAGCAAGAGACTGATTTTGAACGATTTCAAAGACAAGGTCTCAGCCACCACACAACACCTCCCTTTATTTTGACGTTTCCCCTTATTTTTCAGCCTAACGGCTGAGAAGGTGGGGGAAAACCACCCATTTAGGCTTGTAGCAACTCAAAATGAAAAGGCGCTTTAAACTTAACCTCCGAAGCCCTGTAGGGCAGCTCTGGCGCTCACTCAAACAGTACCGCAGCGATGAGCGGAAGCAAACGAGGAACGCGCTCACGAGCCACTGCCAGGGAAAGGATGGATGAAACTCCACTGTCCGCTCCGCGCCTCCTTACCTTAGCAATAAGCTCCCACGCCCTCTACCTCCACCGGGGCCTGCGAGGGCTAACAGCCTGTTCTGAGGGGGCCTGAAAGAGACGGTAAGCGCTGTTAGCGGTGCCAGCCCGGCCCCGGGGCGCTGCTGCCCGCCCGGCCCAACGGGCCTGCGGCCGTTCCGCCCCAGCCCCGCGGGACAGAGCTGCCCGATCCCGCACCAGCGGGGCGGGCACGGCCCGCACAGGGACGCGGGACCCGCGGCCGGCTCCGCGCCGCCCGCCCCGCAGGCCCGACGCGCGCCCGCCCCCCCCACCGCCGCCCGGCCCTTCCTTCGCGGTACCGCGGCGCGCCCGGTGCTCCCCGCCTCACCTCACATCATTGGGGTCCCGGCCCGTGAGCTTGCGGATATTCTCGTCCACGTGCTTGAGGCTTTCCTTGGCTTTCTCCAACTGCTCCTGCAGAGCGCGCACCGCCACCGCCATCCCGCCCGCCGCGCGGCCTGGCCGGGCCCCGCGCGAGGCAGCGCTGGGAAATAGGGGGAACAGGCCCCGCCCACTCCGGCGGCCGCGGGCCCGCACGGCGCAGCCAATCGCGCCCCGGGGGCCCCCTCCGACCGCCAATCACCGGGCGCGACAGGAACGGGCACGCCCCCCAGGTGGCTCGCCAGAAGCGGTGCCCAATCACAGAGCCCAGGGGCAGACTGGCATCCCGGCCGCCCAACTGGGGAAGGCTCTACTCGACGGATACTAAAGGAACCGCCGGAGTGACGTGGCATAGGACTAATAAGAACTCAAACGTCACTTCCTTGTAGCCCAATCAGAAAACCACTTCGAGGCCGCTTGTTCCCACCCACCCGGGGCGCATCCTGCTTTCCCCCTCTCGATGGGGCCGAGACGCCGGCACGCTCGGGACTCAGGCGAGGGCCAATCACCGCTGCGCTACCAGAGGCGCCTGTGCCCGGCGAGCCAATAGACGGGGCTGTTACTCGACGCTGGCTGAGGGGGCGGCCTGACGGGCGGCGCGTGCCGGGGTCGCTCCTGCCCTCGCATCCCGCCGGAGCGGCGTGGCAGGGAAGCTCCGCAGTGCGCGTCAGCCGTGGCGCCCGGGGCGGCGGCGAGGCTTTAAACCACGCTCTTCCCCGCTGCAGCCGACGTCGCTCTGGGGCTCCCCGCGGCGGGCAGGGGAACGCACGGGCGCTGTCTAGAAGGCGGCGACACACGGGCGCCCCGCCTGGCTCCAGCACTAGGGTGGGCGGGGCAGCTCCGCAGGAGGGGCGCGTTTGATCCCCGGCTGCCGGCAGCGCCCGAGTCCGCAGACTCTGCAGAGCCTTAACCGAGAGCCCCTTTCCCAGAGCTCCGGCTCACAGTGCTGGGCCGCCCCGCCTCGGCCGGGAGCTCCCGCGGCTGGCCGGCCCGCCCGGAAGGGGCGGTGGCCCCGGCGATGGCGGACGAGGCGCTGTTCCTGCTGCTGCACGGCGAGATGGTGGCGGGCATGTACCGCGCCGCCGAGCAGGGCGAAGGGGTGAGTGGGGCCGGGGCCGCCGGGGCCGCCCGGCGGTGGCCGCGGCTGACGCTGCGGCCGCGGCGCCTTGTGTCTTGCAGGAGAACGGGCGCTGCACCACCAAGCTGGAGAGCATGGGCTTCCGCGTCGGACAGGGGCTCATCGAGAGGTGAGTGCCAGCCCTGGCAGCCGCTGCTCCTTCTCGGGGCTTTCGCCTCGCCGGTAAAGCACACCTGTCCGGGCAAAGTGTGGTGGTTTGGCTGGGCGGAGAGCGCGTTCCTCTAACCATCAGTTGTTCTGGCATCTCCTCTTTTTGTATCTCATTCTTGTGGGGACCTGTGCCTGTGTATCACGAGACAGTTTTGGAGTGTATTGTTTTCCTAGTGCTTCCCGTCATGGAAACCGAGTCAGGGTACATGGTTACTTTTAGTACTTAAAATTATCTTTAATTTTACTTTGTTTTGTATGTTTCCTGCTTCTGGTACTTCTAGTTCCTGCTTCATTATTTTTCTGATTTACTTCTTAAGTATAATTTTATGATTGGCTATTACTCTTATTTAGTTTTCGTAAAGTGCTCTCAGCGCTTGCGACTCCGCGACTGAGCAGGTCGGGCTCTTTGGGGACCGGCGCCCTCGTTCCGAGGTCGTGTGGAGACTCTCGAGTTTCTGAAGTCGTGCTTTTCTTAAATAAAGTGGTCCTTTACTGCCAGATAAAGACCCTCAAGGAGGATAAAGGGAGAGAAGTCTGAAATAAGCAAGAGAAAGAAGTCCCTCCTGAAAAATGGGAACAAGTTTTATATGCTTGTTCCTATGTTAGAGCTGTTTTGCCTAATTGAAGGACTTCTTCCAATAAGTAGTATAGGTGTGAGCATTTTGTTTATCTTCTGTTTTGATACCTTGTTGAAGATAAAACTGATGGAGCACTTTCCACCTTTCTGTATGTCAACTATGTTTGATAATTATGGAATTAAAACAATATATTCTGCTATCATATTGCAGATACTAAGATAACGCTTTGTTGCTCAAGTTAAAATATTTGATGAATGGACAGTGAGGGTAGAATGGTACTACACGATGGCTGGAAAACTAATTTCTATAATAACCTCAAAAATTATGTATAGTACCATTAAAAATTATTTCTATGTTAAATTGGTCAGGTTATGTATACCACTCAGTGTTATCTCACTTTTCTCTTAGGTTTACAAAAGACACTGCCAGGTTCAAGGATGAATTAGATATTATGAAGTTCATTTGCAAAGATTTTTGGACAACGGTATTCAAGAAACAAATAGATAACCTAAGGACTAATCACCAGGTATTAATGCTGAAGATTAAGATTTAATGTAGAAAATTGGTGAGAGTTTTGAGTTGCTAGTGCATTTTTTGTTTTGCTTGGTCAGAAGTAATTACCAGATGAGAAATCCAAAATGTTCCATATTTGTTTTGTTTAAAAAGTGTGTTTTTCAATATTCATATTATCATGTAGCTTTAGAATACAATTTAGTAATTGCCTTTATAATGTCTTTATTGCCTCCCTGTTTGAAAAGACTAAATGCTTTGAATTTCATATGCACTGTTGCAGTGTGACAGAAAGGACAGTAATGATTACAATTGATGAACATTTAAACAAGAACTTTTGAATCTGTCTCTTAATAAATGTTAGTAGAAAAATAGTGAAAAAGTGATGTTACTCTCTTAGCATTTATTTAAATAGAATAGCTGCAGTGAATTGACTTTTTTACTTTGAAGAATGTTAAGAGTTTTCAGCAGTTGAGACAGTTGTAATCTATTGAAAATACTTGTATAAGAAGCAGTGGAGAAACTTCTCAGATTTGCCTGTTGGTGACATTGTACTGTATCCATGTGCTTTCCTATATCAACAGCCAGAGTTCTTAAAGCCAGATCAAAATAACTTAAGGAGCCATTTTACTAGACTAAAAAATCTTTTTCCTAATTGAATTACTTGGTTTTCTTACGGCCATTTCCCTGTTGTGTCAAATTGGGAGGAAAAGGATTTGTACAAGGATTGTGATGAATATATAGGTTTTATTTTACATGGACTTAATCACGTAATAAGAGATAATTATTACTTTAGAAATCTGGGGATTTAGTTCAAAAAAGCTGTAGTATTGAGCTTAAGGTCTTAATTGTATATGCGGCCTTATTTTAAGTTCAAGGCTTGTGAAATTCCGAAGTAGCACATTAGCAAGGAAATTAATATGACCGGTGTAGATAAAGCTATACTTTATACTTAATTTATTAAGATGCCTATTGTTGCACAAAATTGTATTGTAGAAAACACCAGACCTTTACTTTGATTGTCTGCTGGGTGTTGTTGCCTGTACTGCTATTAAGTAATACCCCACTGAATTTGAGAATAAGAATAGAGATGTGCAAAACCCAATGAAGATGAAGATTTGAATGTAAAACCAGTATGCATTTGATATATTACCAGAGACTTTGTAATATAGAACTATTTTTTTCTGATCACTGGAAGTACTCTTCCAAGAAGAAATGTACATAAACATTTTTTAGGGTTAACTGATCATGTTATTATCTAGAGTTTTTTTGTATATTCACAATTAAGAATATTTTATTTTGATATTCCTTGTAAGTAAATAATGCAATTTAAACTTAAATCACATATGCCTTAATCTAAAATTTTATTTTTCAACCTTATATATTTTATCTACAAATCAAATCCATTCACAGAAAATGTGGGGTTTATATTACTGCACATTTAATTAAACCTCTCAATTTTCTCTTTTTAAACAGGGTATTTATGTCCTTCAAGACAATAAATTCCGTCTCTTGACACAAATGTCTGCAGGAAAGCAGTATTTAGAGCATGCACCAAAGGTACCCTTGGATTTTATGTGGGGCAGGGTCTACCAGTTTCATTTTAATTACCTTGATCTATTAATAACTTTAAATTTTGTAATTAAATAGATACAAATTCTTCTAAAGGGCACCTAAAGATATGCTTTCAGAGCCTGTGTGCTTTTTACAAAGGCACCCTGTTTTAGAACAGTGGAGTTGATTTATAGTTTGAAAAATGGTCATAGTTGTTGTGCAACTTGCTGCTGTTACACTTGAGTTACTTCATGGTGCAGGTGCTTGTCTGCCACTACCTGCCAGTGTCACACAGATTCTTTCTCTTTGGGAAGCATGTTTTCAGAAACCTTTAAAATTCCCAAAATATATTTGGATGATGTTGTTACATAAAACAAGCCTCTGATATTACGTGAACATTCAGAAAGATCTACCAATTAAAAATAGTTTTGAGTGCAGATACTGAGTTATGGTAATAGCTCTGTATAACCTATCATAGAGTACTTTAGTTCAGGTGGATTAAAAAATGAGACATTAAGTTCTGTTTTATGGTTTCTTAATTCTTGATCTTAGTCTCCCAACTGGCTGCTGTCTTTGGGATTTTTTTTGTGTGTTTGGTGAAATATTTATTCTGTTTTGCAACACATTTTTTAAATATCTGCAGGTGCTTGTATTCTAAGGTATGGCCTGCACAAGAATGCTGTCTTGGACTGTTTTTTCTTACCAGTTGCTAATTTTAGCCAAATCTTGGGAATAATTGTTTTAAGGATATTAAGTTCCTACAGGCTTAATGGAAAGAGAAGGTGACTCAGAATACTGCCTCTAATGAGAACAATCTGTGTAGTAAGCTCCACTCTACCAAATATTGGAGGTTTCATCTATTAGAGACCTGACAAAGTCTCAAAACCTCCATGGTTTTCTGTTGTCCAAGTATTGTGTTCTTGAGTACTTATTTTCAGTCTTTATCAACAAGCTTCACTGTTGACACTCATTTGAAGTGCAACTTCTTATTTAGTATTTAGCATTCACCTGTGGACTAATCAGAGGAGGCCTATCAAATCTGGGAATAAAGAGTATTGTAACAGCTGAAGTTTCATCAATGCCTGCATGTAAGTAGTACTTGGAGTATTCAATTATTAGCTCACTTGGTAACTTTCCTGACTGACTGTGTTGCTGCTATAAGCATTTTTCAAGGTGGGATTTGTTTGAAGCTGCTGGGCCGTAGGAGCCCATGTGAACTTCAGGATATGGCTTGCTACTGTATCCTTTAGTATTTAGAAAATACTGTCAGAGGATAAGCCTCCATGATGTTGAATGGAAAACAAAACTAAAAAGTTGTATTTACATTTAGAAGCATCAAACATGTAAGGATGTGTGTCCAGAAGGTTCTTTGCACAAGGGAAGCTCTTTCTCTATAGGAGTCATTAAGGATGTTAGTGAAGACCATTGTAACTACATAAGCTGCTCCATTAAGTTTCCACCGACTTAGCACAAAACTTCTGTGATGTGGGACATGGCCAGCTTACAGAAAAAAAAAGTTGTTCAGCATGCAAATAGAATTTAAATGCTAAATTTAAATGGTGGCTCAACTGCTTACAATTAAACTGTTAAGATTGAAATGTTCCTTACTATTTATTTGGAAAAAAAAATTACAAGAAAATAATTACTTGGAGAAATAATTCTAACAGTAATATTGTAATCTGACTCTGCTTTTCCTGCAGGTAAATTTCAGGTGATGATACAGAAGATGTAGAGCACATTCAAATCTAGGTATCTACTTTAAAAAGCCTTTGTATGTGGATTCAGTATCTTGGTTCAGTCTTGTATATAAGATGTAAATTATAGTAGTATGCAGCACAATTCCAAAATATGTAATAAATGCTCATTGAAATAACACTATGCTTGTGTCTTGGTATGAAATTTATTCTATACTAAAGTAGTAATTTATACATGGTAAAACCCGTGTACTCGCTATATCAGCAAAACATTTCTATTACCAAAAGAGCCTGGAAGACCACAGACAGAGTTTGAGAACAGAAAAATCCTTACCAAGACTAAATTTGAATAAGAAACAAATGCACGTTGTGTTGCCTGACTAGAATGCCCAACTGCTACCTTTCCCCATTCGCTCTGAACTGGGAGGCAACGATTGCTTTTGTATTTCTTTGATGGAGCCTGATAACATGTGAACTAACAGCTCACACATCATTAAAGATATTAGGCGAGACCTTTGTAGGATTGTAGTTTGGGGCAGGAGAAGAAAACTTGTTTTTACATAGTTCAACAGTTTCTCCTGTCCCTAAAATTAGCAATTGTTCCTTGTGTCAGGATGATTTATGCCTAAGGGCATCTATACTGGCCAAAGAAGGAAATTTATTCCACCTTGTTATACATAAACTCAACATTATTGTAATTGTTTTTAATTGCTAGCTATGGTTTACTTCTGCAATGTACTACTCAAAAAGTAGTAATGTTTACATGAAACAATTGTTTCAGTAACGTGTTGGCTATAATTGAACTGTTGAGCAATGCTAAAACTCATAGGCACCAAAACTTTAAAAAACATGTTTAGCCCTAACTCTAAATTTCTATAGTAAGGCTGCCATTAAATAATATGGAGTAAGAAAGCCCACAATGTTTAAGAACAGTCTTTAAAATACTTTAGTTTTATTTTAAAAGTCCTCAATAAGTCTGTTAGAAAAAGAATAGTAATTTGTAATGTAACCTCAGACTTCACCTAATAGCAGTGTCCATAGATTACTCTGATGGTAGAAATTTCTAACCAAGAATGTAGTTTACAAAGGGAGGAGCTTGAGAGATGATGCTGGACGCTTCAGTTACCACTTTACAATGATGGTTATGATGGTATTGGAGACACTGAATCTCAGCTAAAACTCAGCTGATGTTATTCACAGCTGTCCCAAATGCTTTAGTGTGAGGGTGTTCTGAAGGGGTTGTGTAATACTTCAGGTCTCAACAGTGCAGTGTCTTGCTGTTAACTCTGATACTGCTGTTTGTACTGTGGCAATGCAAAATACTGGACGTTCTCAATACAGCCTAGGAAGGCTCATCAGCCAGGTCACGTTGATCGAAGTACCTAGGAATGAAGCGGAACATGGTAAGAAACATCCAATGCAATATATTCCTTACTTCAAGTTGTCCAACACATGCTTTCTAGCTCATCTTTTAGTATTTCTATCATAATTATGGCTTCATGGTTCAGGGGGCTCATCTGAAGGCAGGAGTAAGCTTACTTTTCTCTTAGGTATATCTTAGATCCTTTCAGCTAAGTATATTTGCTATATTGGCCCAACGTAATTTTACTGACTTTCACTTTTACAAGGATTTAGGTTAGTACAAATAATCACGCATTTACGCTGGACATACATTACTGGTTGAGGTGTATAAGTTGCGTTACCTACTAACTAAGCAGATTATCAAGTTCAGAGCTGATATTTGTTCTTCATTCTTGCTCTCCTGGAAAAGAGAGAAATATTACAGCAATTCTTTTGTTACCTGTGTCAAATAGAGAAGCTGTTACAAGCCATGTTATGTTCATTCTCAAGCAAACTTAAGACATAAAAAATTAACTAAGACTTCTGAAATATGATCCTTCTTACTTGCTAAATTCACCAAGTCCTCTGCACAGTTACATTAAATCTTACCTCCAGTGCCCTGACTTCTGAACATCGTCTTGCCAGCTGTCGAATAAGGGAGTGAGCTTCAGGTAGCAAAGGTTTTTCAAGGCATGCTAACAGTGCATAAAGCCATCTACCCTGTAAGGATTCAAATAACAAAGTTTTAATTCTGAGCATTTCCTTGAAGAGTCAAGCAATTCATGTTCTATAGAGCAGAACTGAAGTGTAGGTCTCAAAACATAACTGCATTCAAGTGCTACATGCAGTAACGGAATTTTCAAAACCACATTGGACACTATATGGTTCTGTGTCTCTAGGTAAGACTCTTGTGAGCACTACTCCTGGGTTTCCTGGCATTTTTTTGAATGCTGGCCAAGATATAAATTATTACAGCTGATGCTATTATAGTCTGAAGGAAGGATTATTTTAGTAATTATTTTAATATTTTAGTATTATTACTTGGCTATTAATGTTTAACTTCACAATCTGTGAAAAAGCATTCCTGAAGACTGTATGTATGAACTCAGATCTTTATGGAATTAGTGGTTAGATCTGCTTGAAGATTTGCACCACCTGTGAAAATATTTTTCTTTGAGTTTTACATCTCTGAATTCTACTGCATTCTTACAAACCTAATTTCTGGTACCAGTCTAACTTCATAATTTAATCACAGTGTCTAGTGGCCTTCATTCTGGGACCTAACCTAAAAGTCATTGTGCACATTCTCTGCAACATACATACTGGTTAAAAAGAAAACAGTCTTCTTTAAGAAAGGACAGAACATGAAAGGTCTTTAAGTGACTGAAAAAAAAAGAGTGAAACTATGATAAGCATCATGTAATTTTTCATTACTCTTTTGCTTTGTGGTACTGAAGGAGATGAGAAGACCACCAAGGTCTTCTGTAGATACGGAGCCATTACACAGCTGGTCAGTCTAGCTGTGGTCAAACTCCATGCCAATGTAGCCTGTCAATCAGGAGTTCTTAGTAGGTTTGACTTTTCACCATGTGAATGCAGCTAAGCTTTCTGGTCTACGCTTCATGTGGAAAGATTAAATGTGTCTTTGCCAGCACACTGTAATGAGCCTCCAAACTAAACTGGAGGCAAATAGTGTGCAGCACTGTGACAGAACCAAAGCTGCTGTGATCTCTCCTCTTCTAAACCTTGATACTCATCGAGTCTCATGGCTTAAGTTAGTGGGGCAAGTAATACAAAGGGGAGGGAGTTTGTGTAGTATTTTTTATGTCTGTATCTGTTAACTTTTATAATTTTAGCCTTCCAAAAACAAATGTGAATACTTATTTTAGTATCTAATCAAGAAAGTTTTGAAAGTAACAATACGATACAACCATCTAGAGAACTCTTGAGAAAATTAAAATAGTTTAATAGAAAACTAAGAACAATTTATTCTTTGTTTAATGGATTCATGTGCAAGTAGTTAGAATAAATTAAAAATTACCAGTTCTGGAGTAAATTTTTTCTCTCCAAACCAGCTTATCAGGTATTCTAAGACACTGGTTACTGTTGCCTTCAAAAGAGGAACAGAAAGAGACAATATAGTATCTGCAATGTTTTGCTTTGCTGCTCTTCTACCTGAAGGACTTTACTATATAAAAAGTATTTCTACTCCGCAGTATTTATTCCAGTTTGAAGTTACATGTAAGGGTAAAGTAAGTGTTGAAGTACCACTTTTGAAAAGGAGTTTGTATGAAATGAATTAAGTCTATGTTAATGTAAAGTTATGGATAAGTAGCTACAGATTAGGAAAGAAGCATCACACTGACTGGTTGCTTGGTTGGTTGTGTATAATGGTGGTAAGTGGGAAATGTAGTAAAGGAAAGAGAAATGTGGTTCTTCTAGCCTTTCAATGTACATAGAAATACACAATCAAATGGAAGGAGCACACTTAAAACACTAAATGAGAAATATAAAAACATTTTAAAGCATTTATTGGGGTAGTCAGCAAAAATTCAAACATTACATGTGCTATAGAGAAACTACAGCAACAAAATACTTTCAGAACTAGTAATGAAAAATCTTTGCTTCTAAAGTTGTTTGTAGCTGAATGTGAGACAAATACATATTTTCCTTTTGAGTGTACAATTGATAGAATTTGTAATAACTGCCTACTCTAGACAAAGAAAAATAGGTAAGCCTTCTGCAACAGAACATGAGAAATAATGATTTAGGCAATGTCACGATATGATTCTAAGAGGTAGGCTTACCTGATTCATCCTGCTTACAATACTTAGCAAAGGGGGAAACCCCACCTGAAAAAGCAAGTTAGAAAATGCAAACATTATCACAAACATCTTTGTTCTAATTTAGAACGTACTAAGATTTTAATTTGATGTTCAGACATTTGTAGTGATTTGAAAGTCTGTTCTGAGCTTTGAAATTTATTTAAAAAGTATCTTCAAGAAAGTTGAAGGTCCAGTGAAGTATCAGAGCACCTTGCTTCTACTGTTACTTGTTAAAGTTTTATTTTTTCAAAATTATGTAGTAAAGAATATGTTTGTAGGGTATCACATATGGAGGAGTGTAACCACATATCACTATGCAACAAAACACTAAAGCAGACTATGAAGAAACCTTCTATTCTGTTCAGTGAAACAAAGTAATAACTTTAGCTGATAAGAGATAAAGGAACTCTTCAAATTTTGACTGAAGACTTAACTCCTGCTTCATTTAGTTTCTGCATAAAAAGAATATACACTGGGACTTTCTGAGCTTACCAGAGCCTACTTTCTATTTGGCACAAAGTAGTAATAAACATTAAGATTGTTTCTGGCAGTTAGTCTAGAAAATAACTGCTGAAAATTAACTCGAAGTCCTATACTCACCTTCAAGTAATCAATTCCTAAATTTTCATTATCAGATAGTACATCTATTTCTGAGTATACTCTTTCCCCGAGGCAGAACTTCTTCCAGCCTTCTTCATCCTCTGATTTTGGCTAAAGTAAATAAAAAGAAATGAAAACTGTGTAATACTGTTATCTTGAAGACACTGGAGAAAAGGCTTAAATTGTTACATGCAACTATAAAGCAAGATTAACTGTGGATTGAATAACTGGGAAAACAAACCAGAGAGCACTGTTATGAATTCTACTCACCATAGTAACATTGCTGTCCAAATGTTGTGACCGCCAGTGATTCCTGTGCTTGTTCAGGCTCTGAGTAATTAAAACAAAGTCAAATCCCAGTTTAACTCTGCAGTTATTTTATCCTAGCCACAAGGGCTCTTCATAATTCTTAAAATGCATAAAAAATATGTTTTATGACTTTCTATATATCCACTAGATATATAGCCAGCACAACTGGCTAAATATTTCCCATGCCTCTTAGCAGAAATGTAATTAAGAATTTCATGCTGGGATTTTGGAAGTAATGTTAAAGCTGAAGGCATTTTGAAGTCTATTACATAAGGTTAAGCTGATGCAGTAAGCTTTAACAGTCTTCTAGACTTTTCTTGTTAGAACAATCTAAGAGAAAACACAGTTTGAGTTAATCCAAAAGCATGCATAAAGCCAATATCCTGTTTCCAACAGTGGTCTGTACCTGTATCAGAGGTCTACAGAACTGTAAAAAAGAAGGCAAGTGTGGATTCTTATCACATTTCTACCTGGCAGGAATCCTGTGTAAGACAAATTGGCCTGCTTAACAGTTACTTGTAGAGAGCTGTAAATGTTCTGTAGCAGAAGGAATTTGTCTTCCACTCCACTTGTTCCTGTAGCTGTATAAAAGAGCACTAAAAATGCTCTAAGTAACAGCAGCTGATGCAATGGTTGAACAAGTGAATTCTGATGCTCTTTCTTGGTTTTAAATATTTAGGATAGTCTCATATTTCACAATGTTAATTCTGGCACAGATTAAATGGCAAATGATTTGAGCATAAAAGAAATACCTATTCAGTGAATAAGCCTTTAGTTATCAGTCTCTTTAATTCTGCTAAAACTTTAGAGTACGCCTAATACTACAGGATACAGTGTGATTCCCCGCAGAAACAGGGGTAGCTCAGTTACTGTTTACAATGTAGAGGCAGTAGTACAGATCTCCTCCTTCACTTGAGTGAGGGAAAGAGGGGGAGATGTTAGAATCCTAAATTTTCCTCCATGAAAAAAACACGGTACATGAGCTCATGCAGAGTTCAGTGCTAGAGCAGCTCCTAGCTGGTCACACCTCAGTACTTGTGGGGACTCTACAATGCAGTATCAATGCACTGTAAACATGCTGTCTGCAGCAGTGGAATCACAAATTACCTCCACCTATATTTTTATTATATTTTCAATTCATCCTGCTTGAACTGTGCATAGAGAATAATAGAATCATAGATTTGGGCTGGAAGGGGCCTTCACAGGCCATCTAGTCCAGCCCCTCTCCCATGGGCAGGCACATCTTCAACTAGCTCAGGCTCAGAACCCCATCCAACCTGACCTTTAGTGGTTTTGAGGGATGGGGCATCCACCCCTCTCTGGGCAACCTGTGCCAGTGTTTCACCACCTTCACTGTAAAAAAAATTCTTCCTTATAGCTAATTGAAATCAATCCTCCTTTAGTTTAAAACTTTAGCAAAGCTTAGCTGAACTTAGAACCTTTACCCTTTGAGACTGCTTATTTTCTGTTCTTGTTGTGTTATTTCAAGCAGGGTGCAAATGTATCAGGAAAGATGAAAGTCTGTGCTAATTCTACAACCTTACAAATATGTTTTACCAAATCAGTATGTCTCCTCATAATGGGTTGCCACCTCTGTCAACAGGTTTCTAAATGCACTTTATGAATCTCCTGATGGGTTAGAATCCACTTTGTTCTTAGTTAATATTAAGTTCTGCAGAACATTTCCTGCTAGCACTATGTTTTAATATAACTGCATAACATCATAGGGGTTTTTGTCCTTCCTCAACCATGCCTTTTAATTTAATCAAAATACAGAGAATTTCTTAAACTTGACTCTCAAGAGTTTCATCAGAGGTTTAAAAGCCACACAGTATATGCTCAATTAGCTTTCAAGAACTTAAAACACTTGCCTATAAACTTCTATCCTGCAACAAAATCACAACACTTCTCTACTAGATGTAAAGTTATCCCCTATAAAGCACAGATATGTTCTATCTAGACCATGCAAGACCCCTCACAGACTATCTTGTACCTGACGAACAGCTGAGAAATTGGCCACTTGCTGCTGCTGCCACTTGAGCGTTGGAGAGTATCCTTCAGGAGCAGGCTGACATCCAGAAATCTGAGAAAACACTGGTAATAATTATAATGTAAAGAGATCTGCATAAGAAGAATCCTTAAGGACAAGAGAATCAGTAAATGTTTACTATCAGGTCAACAATATCCTTGAACTCCCCATCTAAGAAAGGTAATTTCATGACCACATCCAAGGCTGAGTTAAGATTTTGGCTTAGACAAATTTGACACTTCTCATATGTACATAAGAAGGAAAACTAAGTGTTCAAAATACATTGTCAAATAATTACTTAAGGTCTTCCTTTCAGCAATTGTTCTGCTTTAATCTCCCTGCTCATAAAAAAATGGATGCAGCTTCCTTATCTGGGACAGATACTATCAATCTTAGGCAGTCTTCCTGTGAAGATAGTAGTTGAGGAAGACAGAAGACCATAAAACCATTTAGAAAATTAAATTTGATAGTTAAGTAGATATAACTGCTTTAAAGATTAGCATGAAAGGGTTATTAAACAAAATCTTTCTACAAGTGCTTAAGAATGTCACTACAAACAGATGAGACAGATGAAGAGAATGGCTACAGAAGTTACAAAGTCATATCAGTATTAGAAACTTTCTTTGAGAAATCTAGTAGTGCAATCTCAGATTACATCGTTGTCGTTGGAGAAAGGCAAACTATTTGAAAATAGATTAAAAACCAAGCTGGCAGGGCAATGCAACAACAGAAAAATCTGCTTCAACAGTAAGGAGAAGTTCCAATAAAATATTCCTTCCAAAAGGAAAGTGGTACTAGAATTTCATGTAACTTTAGTAAAGCTTAGCTGCACTTACTACCCTTATGCTAAATATAGACTTAAACCCAAAGACAGGTATGGATATGTTTTTCTTCTAAAATTTATGCAGGTTTAAATTTATGCAGGATTAAATAATTGTAAGATTTAATGCAACATTTGATTTCCTTACACAGTAAAATAGTCAGCTGTGTATCAAATAGTATGGGGATTATCAATTTAATAATTTAGAAATACTGCTGTTACCCAGCAGGTGAGCAGGGGTTTCTTCAAACACAGACATTTAATTCTGTAGATGCTTTTAGAATCTAGCAGTGCTATTCAGTTATGCCAATGACTCCCCCAAAGTAATACAAACATCATTATAGGAACATCTCTCCCGGTTTCCCCCCTACTCAAAACGTGCAAAAGCTCTCAAACTTACTGAAATGTTTACTGTCGGCTTCTTCTTCAATTTTCTGGGATCTATTTGCGCCACAACAACGTCAGGACATCGCGCTGCTTCAATCCTACAAAACAGAATCAAGTGGGCTGCATTTTTTTCTTTCATGTGACAGGTCGGTATATACCGGATGTCTTTGAAATACTCATAAAATCATGGAGGGACCAATCAATATCATTGAGTCCAACTCCGTGCACACGACAGCCCAGAAATCACACCCTGTGCCCGACGGCGCTGTCCAAATGTTTCCCGAACTCTGTCATGAGCTGTTCAGTGCTCAGCCACCCTCTGGGTGAAAAACCTTTTCCTGATAGCCAGCCCAAACCTCCCCTGACACGGCTTCATGTCGTTTCCTGGAATCGTGTCGCCGGTCACGACAAGGAAGAGATCGGTGCCCGCCCGTTTTAAAGCAGGTGTTTAAACACCGGTGTGAAAGCACCGGCTGTGCCGGCGAGGGCAGCACGGCGCGGCCGCCCTGGCGCGCCCGAAGCCCGGCCCGGGCAGCACCGGCTGCCCCGCCACACTCGCGGAGAGGTGACGGGCCCGGGCCCGGCCCCACCGCCCCGCCACTCACTGGACGCGCTTCAGATACTCCTGGGGCGTCCTGGGAGGCACGGTGGGATCGAAGTCCTCGGCCAGGTCGCAGTCGCCCACGGGCAGCAGCCGCGGCATCAGCTCCTCCAGGCCCGGCTCCATGGCCCCGCGCGGCTCTCGCGAGAGCGGCGCTGCCGCGCGGCGCGCGCCTCGGCCCGGCGCCGCTGGGCGCGCCCCGCGCCCGGCGTCGTGGTTGTCCGGGCGGTTGTCCTCCCGCCGGGGAGCACAGCAAGCACGGCCGAAGAGCAGCGGCAGAAGAGGGGTTGCCAATCCACTGCCCATCAAACTACGCCTATTTTTGTGGTGAAGAGGCGTAAACCTTTAATAGCTTCCTTCATTAGCCGCTGTGACATTATTCTAATATGCTGTAGTTTTTGCCAAAAATTCTTTAAAGCTCACCCGTTAGTACGCTCTTATTTTACTTGTGAAAACCCAGTATTCGTAATATTTGTCCCTTTCTTGAAATGCTTTGAGATCTGTGGTTAAAGTCAGTTATATAGAAGTTAATGATTTTAAATTTACACAGAGTTCCCATTCTGGAAGGATCAATGCCTGAGCTGTTGCTGTATGAATTTTTCTGAAGACTACAATGTGAAAGCATCCACATGTCAGAAAGCAAGGTAGCATCTGTGTTATAAGTTGAGGCGAATAATTTGATTCAGCCTTTTAAGATCAATTAATAATTTTATTAATTACAGCAAGCGATAGCAAGCAAAACAGCGCTGGGTTCAGCTGGGAGCCTGGCTCCGCCAAAAGCTGACAACCTTTCCTTCTCTTCAGTCCCTTTTTATCTTGCATGAGTGGGGGTGGTGAGTCTCGTTCCACCGTGGTTATCAGTCCCAAAAAAAATGGATTTCACAAGTGGGGTGGTGTGTCTTCTTCCACTTCGGTTTATCAGTTTTCAGCAACAATGGGTTTCCACTGCGGTTATCAGTTCCAGCCAGTCCTGCAAAATCTTTCACAATCTTTGTTTGTGGTTACCAGTCAAGCCTGCAAATTCCATGTCCCGACTTCCCCCCCTTTTATCCTAATTTCATACTTTTGATGAACAAACAAGTCAATGCAGTTTCTCACATCTGCACAAAGGGGCATTGTTTCCCAGGTGAGACAAAAAGTGAAAGGGTGATGCTGTAATCATTTACATTGTGTATTATGAAATTCCTGTTACACAAATGTCCATCAGTATATTATCTCTTCGATTAGTTCTGCAGTGTTAGATTTAATATTTCAGAGTAGTTTGAGATACTTCTGACATAAGTTAAAAAAAAACCCCAACAATGTTTTCTTTTTAACCCCCTGCAAGCCTGTATTTCAGTAGTTCTAAATAAACATCTGCCTTAACTCCTCCTCTCCAATGGCTTTTGTTTGTTTTAAATTGTTTCCAAAAGCACCTATGTGTACCAGGGAGTTTTTTTTTCCTGAAACCCGGATCTAACGTCTTAGTTGAGTATGCAACAATTGCAGTCACCACTAGAAATAAAACTTGCCTACTTAAACCTACAGTGATAACTCTGGAAAGGCTGATGATCAAGACAAAAACTTTGGTGAGTCCAGCTATATAAAGTTCTTTTATAATACTTTAGTAATATTCAGAACTTATTTTTCCTATTTGTTGTAAAGTCCAGAACTACGAACTTCATAGAATCAAGCGAATCCACAGATATACGCTTCAAATATACTTCCTATCTTTAGATCACTTTTTATTCAACTTTCCATTGATACTTGTTAAGCAAAGCAACATATTTTTAATTATTGCAGATAGTATTTCTTACCAACAATGCTGATGCAATGGCTAGCAAATATGACTCAGTGGAGAAAGAGGAAAATGAAATTGGAAATGTATATCTTTCTTCTCACCTGCTTAGGCATTAAGGAAGAGTGCCTTCCCCAAGAAAGGTTGCATTAATGGATATGCCTCATTGGCTAAAAAACCAAACCAAAACAAAGTAACATATAAATTCTGCATTATGAAAAATTAAAATGTTTTCAAATCTACATTCTAGATATGAATATGGAGAGCTATCAAAATATTTTCTTATAATTAATAAATGAGTTTATATCTATTTTCTACTTTTCTTTCTCCTTGATTTTCTCTGTGGTTAGCAGCGTCATAACAGCTGCATGACTTTAAGTTTAGAGCATTGGACTGAGTTATTATGTAATGAAATTTAATTGTGCTGAAGATTAATTTAAAATACTGAATATATTTTATTTGTAGTAAACTTTCAGAGTAGTATACTTTGCTGTTTTCCCTTCTTGCCCTTTGAGTGTCTTTAAATGTCAGATGCCTCTTTTTCTCTTATTTATAGAGTTCATCCTGCATTTTAGACTTCAGGACTTGCCTCTTTTTTGGGGAATTTTCTGAAAATGTTTCACAAGTTATTTGAATACTTTTGAAATTACAACACTGAGTAATTTGCTGTGCATCTGTTTGAAGTGTGGTAGGGTTTGGGGGTTGGTCTGTTTTTTTCTTTTTTTCTTTTGAGTTCAGGGTGAGGATGTTACATGTCATTGGCAAGCTCTTGCTTAATACTCCCACAAATGGCAGTGAGATTTGTGAACAAGAAAATTAAAAATCCCTCCCATAAATTCTGCTGTTGCTTAACTGTTCATGTTTTTAGTCTGAAGAGGACTGGTAAACCATACTGGAGAGAGTAATGGCAAAGAAATTCTATCATAATCACATCTGACATATAAAAAAAGAGGGTAAAGTTGTTTTAGTAATTTGTATTTGCTTGATGGTCACAGAATATTTTCCGAGTTGCAATGAAGGAGGCAGGATATGGTAGCCAGTCAGCAGAATGTTTTTCAGTCCTCCCCCATGTCTGGATTAATTGCACTACGACATCTCAGGAAAGACAGAAGTTATTGTTCTGGCCTTTCATGACAGCCTTGTGAAAAACAATTCCTAAAACTGAAGAGTTACTGTTAACTTCAGTTTGTGGATAAAAAAGCTGACCACACTAACAAGATAAAGGATTGTTTCAGGTTTAAACCCCCAGGAATATAACTTCATTTTGTTTTTTCCCCAGGCACTCAGAAGAAACATCTAAACAATCTTCCAGATTAAGAAGTTGCCATAAGTAGTCATGGTGGAAGATGGGAATAAGCCCGGCTGTTTCGATCCCGGAGTTCGTGCCGGACGGAGCAGCCCCGCACAGAGCAGCGCAGCCACCGGCGGGGCCGCCGGCAGCCCCGGGGCCGCGGCCCTGCCGCAGGGAGAGACGGCCAAACTGCCCCCGCTGATCGGGATGCACACGACCGACCTTCAGAAGACAGCCGAACAGGGTGGCGAACACACACACGCGAGCAGGAGCTGCCAAGGCGGCGGAGCCACGGTCGGAGCCGCGGGGCGGCTGACGCCGGCCGCGCTGCCCGGGCCGGGCAGGCCGGGGCGGCCGGCGGGCTGTGCCGGGGGCGGGCGGGCGGCGGAGCTCAGCCCGCCCCCGCTCTCTGCCCTTGACGTGGCGCGGACTCTCCCATCAGCCATGTTGGTGCGTCGGCGGCGCCGGGGCGGCTGCGGGCGGGCGGGCGGGGACAGCGAGCGCAGCGGGAGCGGCGGCCGGGACGCGGTGAGCGCGCAGCGCGGCGCTGAGGGGGAGCCCGGCCCGGCGGAGCTGGGGTGCAGGGAGGGGAGAGGGGCAGCCCCTCCTCTCCCCGCGCTGGGAGGCACGGGCACCCGGCCCGCGGGGCCCCGCACGGCTGTGGGACCCGAAGGGAGCGTGGTGGGAGCTCCCCGCGCCTCCTCCGTGGCGCTGGGGGATCTCCGGGTGCCAGAATTGCTGTCGGGGCCCCCGGCGGCCTGAGAGTCCGGGGCTGCCGCCGGGCGCTGGTCAGTAGTGCCCGCGGCCTCCCGGGCCGGGCGAGCAGCCCCAGCAGCCCCAGCTCGGCCGGGGTCCGGCGGGCAGGGCCTTGAACGGCCGGGGTGAAGGGCAGCGCTCCCCGGCAGCGCCGGGGTGCTCCTGTCCCGGAGCTCCGCTGTAGCTATGCCGCTGTGCCACTGACGAGGGTGCCTTCCAGTGTAGGTAAAACGAGAAATGCAGGCCCTGCTGCGTTTGATTATGCATTGCTTTTTTTTAAATTTAGGTGCGTTATCACATACCGTAGTTGTTTAAAGTTTTCAGTGAGAGATCTGGGAGGGCAGATTTGGAGGAGACTGCGTTTGAGTGGTGAAAATGTTAGCAAATTGCTTTAGATAACTATTTAAACTATTGTGCTCATGTATTTTAGTTCTTTGGAACTGAATTTGTATCTGGTATGTAATTTGGTCATAAAAAATGAATTAAGGGTTTATTATTAATCTCTTTTACCAGGTTGTTAGTGCCTAATAATTTGAGAGAAGAGGTGTGTTGTAAGAAAAGTGTGCAGTGAACTGTACTCATTTAGTGGTAGTTAAACACGGTGCTGTGAGGGACTTCGACCTATCTATGCTGGAAGTCTTACAGTGCTGTAGAGAAAAATGTTTTGATTTTGTATATGCGTGCAAGGATTAGGGGATATTATTATGTGGATATTCTGTATTGGGACATATTTGTCTGTGATGTGGAAACGTTTAAAGGTGCTGATAGTCAACCAGTGACTCTCAATGCAATTCAAGTGTGGCTTCGTTTGTGACACACAGTTGAGGTTGTCAAGGTGTAGGTTTGCAAAGGTATGTTCAGCTGTGGCAGTGGGACGGAGGAAGCAAGCCAGAAAGGACTTCTGGTTTTTCTGGATATCCTAATCTGTAGCAAAGGTAAAGCAGTGGGAACTGTTGCTTTTCAGCTGGCCTGAAAATCCCTTCTCTGAGGTTTTCTGAGGCAGGCAGTGCATATTTTGTGGCACTCAGGTGTCCGAAATTTGGGGTGTAGCCTGTAGGCCAGGAGGGTTTGCTGTTCCTGTGTAATGCAATACATCTCCACACCTATCAGAAAATGTGTCTACATAGCTGTAACAATGATACTGAATGTAACTTGTCAGACCAAGAGTTCCATATTTGATGAATGATGAAATAGGTAAGCATTATTGGCTCTTGAAGAGGAAGAAAAGGATAGAAGAAAAGGTGGAGGAGATCTTGATTATTAGCCACTTTTGCCTTCTGAATATAAAATCCATAATTAATAGAAAATAACAGTATTTAACTCAGTAAATCCAACAAGTCGTTTATGTATCTATGTGTATTAGTGATTAGTCACTGCACACTGCACACTGGTGTTTGTACATTGCCCTTTCAGGAGCAATAACTGAGTGGTAAAAGTAATACCCATGTACAGCCATTTCAAACATAGCTAGAGCCAAATGTG